TATATCTTTTTCCATGCGGGTGTTCTAGTAGACACATTTAAAACCGTTACAGAAAAATAGAAATTGTAATCGATAACATAATTTCATGAATAGTATACGAAATATTGTTAATATTTCACTTGGGCGTTGTTGCCACATTAAATAATAAATGCTGAATAACCAAAAAACAGTGAACACTCGAATAGAACAGGTGGCGTGCCCAAAAAACTGTTTCCACAGGGGCTAGGAGCATAATTATGAGTTTTTAAATTAATTATTTTGTTTAAAATTATTTTTAAAACAATAGAGAAATACATACACAGATATGTACAAAATATATTTATGTAATATAATGTGAAACATTGGATTATATCATATAGTTATCTCAAACTAATTGATTAGTTTTCATAAAAATCTGGAATTCAAAGAAAAAAATTGGAATAACTAAAAATGAATTCTCATGTCGATATTGATATAAAAAATAATTTTTAGAGTATCAAAGATGATGATAATAATAAATCATGATTTGATAGAACGATTTGGAAAAATCAAAGGAATGCTTCGTATTGTTCGGTTTTATACAGAACTTTAAAGGATGGAACAATTCGTGACTTTCCAATTCCCCTTGACCGCTGGCCATCCTTCATATATGCGTTATAATTGAGACGATCGGTTCGAAACACCCGCTGGCATTATAACTTCTCTATATGATGGATGGATTATCCAGAATTGAAGGCGTGAAATACTCCTCACGTTCTTGTATTTTCATGGCCATTAAAAAACCAAGGGTAGAAAACAACAGTGGCAATCACGATGTCTAATGACACCGGTTTCTTTTCTGATCATCAACAGCTGCCAGACAGTTGTTACTTTGGCATGTGGGCTAAGTGTTGACTCTGCACCTCTGTAATATTATACAGGCCTCGAGTACGCCTAAATATTGAATTAGTCAATTATGTTTCGTATGAGTAGACTCCGCAATTACGCAGTTCAATGAATCTTTGAATATATTAAATGCTCGCATATTATTGATACCAAGTGTACAGGCACGAGAAATTCAATGGGCTCTTCATAATGCCGTATGAATTTTTCAATTCCATTGATTTTGTCACGAGTTGTCGATAATAATGTGTCGAATTTCGCGTGTCATGTTTTGCAAAATAGTCATTCCGTGTAAATAAAATTCATAACAACCATTGTTATCATCGTAAATACTCATGTATTTCATTTTCATGTAAAAACTTACCCAATATGTAATCTAACATAACAAAAAGGAAATAAGAAATATATAATAAATTCCTCATTGTTCCCGATTTTTGTAAACAATTGTAATTATCATATATATATCTATAACTATTCAAAAAATTGACAATAATTATTTTTTTTTTAATAAAAAGGTTTTAATGTATTCATAAAATAGAAAAAAAGTCAAAATGATATAGATATATATATGTATACATCTTTTACTTTAATTAGATATATTGTTTTTAAAAATTTTAATTTCGATTTTTTACATGAAAATTCACAATTTATTAGCTCAACTCAGTCAGTTGTCTACTATCGATTGTTATGGATTCTTTATCGAATACATTTTTTTGAACATGTGCCCATGAGGGCATTTTGATGCGCGTATAATAATTATATGAATATAATTATTACACGCGCATCAAAACGCGCCCCAATTGCTAGTGAAGAAAAAATAATGATTGTACCGAAATACGAGAGAAATCATTCCAAGAAAACCAACTGGACTAAAATGGGAAATGGACTAGATGAGTATAAGATACATCACCGGAGAAAAACGGGGTATTCTTAACCGGCGTGTGGGTTGAGACAAACATGCGGGTTTTGATGTTCGGATGTCTCGCCTAGGTGTGCATTCTATATCTCGTCATAACTACGCCGTAAAGTTCGATTTTTCTCGGTAAACGGCACGAAGACAGTAAGTTATTCCCTTTGCCACGAACTGCCAAAAACAACAAAAGTCTGACCAAGTCAACAAAAAAATGGAGTGAACCAGTTTTATCCCGTCTGTTGGAGAGAAAAGTCTGAATTTCTGTGAAGATATGAAGGAACATATATTGTTTACAGAAAGAGATCTGTTCCATCAGCATCAATTGCTCCGAAGCTTCCTAAAAGAGAGGAATATAGATTATGACAATTAAGGAAACATTAATAATAAGATAAATCAACGAATTAATTTCCTAATAAATATTTTAGATTTATTCAAAATTCAATACAACCGGAGACACTTATAATTATATTGACATTCATAAATTCACCGCTGATGCCTAAATAGAGTCATACGAATCTCTCGAAATCTCAAAATCTACAGAGCCTCGCGTGACGTTCGATATCAGTATCAAGTATTTTAAAATTATTTACAAATTACAGTATATTCCACTCAATGGAATAATCATCGAATGATTCCACATGGATTATTGCATCTGGTTCTTGGCTTGCTGGGTATAAAATCCAAAAGGCCTGGATTCGGAAGTGAAACTTGCCGAGGGGCCTGACTGCTCTGTGATAACACCTTGAATTTGATTGGCTGTTGGATTAGTTGGATTACTTTGTACTGAGCTAACCAATTGATGGGATCTCAGTGGCACTGGAAGTGGTCGCTGTATTCTTTTACCGTAATGCTGACTTCGATATCCCTGATTACCAGGACCAGCAGGTCTCAATCTTGGTCTCCCTGGTCCTCTCCTCACTACAGGCAAACCTCTCCCAGAAGTCAATTGATTACCCAGAGGTCCAACCGTACTTGGACCATCGCCTTCTGCCGATCCAACATTACTGTACGCACCTGAGACAAATTTACATGTCAATTAACAGCAGTCCTCACCACTTTTAAGTAATAACAAACGATTTCTTAAATTTTTACATTTGATTGTTTCGTCTGTAATGAATTCAGTAGTCAAGTGGAAAAAAAAAATAAATTGACTCATCTCTTACTTGAGTTCTTGAGCAATAGTTGGGGATCTGAGGAAGATAGCGGAATTTTGGTAATAACATTTGTTGTAGGGCTTAATTAGCCCCACAGAAAAGGTTACAAGCAAAATTGTATTATCTTCTTTAGATTTTGAGATATTCATTGAAAGGTTGTCAATTATCAGAATAGAGTTATCGCCATTTACC